ACTTAGGGCCACAGGCCTAGTGCAATTGTAAACTCATGTCCTGGGGACACTCTCTAGAATCCCATGGTTGTCTATGGCCAGCAGAGCACTAACTTCGTAGCGTTGCTTCCACATTTATTTATTTAAAGCGGCAGTGCAGTGCATCACCAGGGAATTTTTTACTTATTTTTTATATATGTGTTACTTCCATTTATTTATTTATTTTCCAGTGGCCACATAGATTTGTTATTGTCACTAGTTTCAAGGGCGTGTATATATATATATATGTTGTATGTATTTTTTATAGACCTTTCGTGTTTACTTACAATTGCCCCTGTACTGCACAGGGAGTGTCCAGACGGCCCATGTGACCTTTGGTTAACTCAAAGACACAGACATTTTTCACTCTGAGGGAGGCACACGAAAACCTTTGGTTACTCCCTATTGTGGACTGTTACTCAGCGCGGTGTTGATCCACTGTTCTTCTATGATGTGCCGTGACTATATTGTCGTTTGTGAGTACAACACCTACATTTTTTTATTAAACATTTTTTATGGTTAATGCACTAGGCCTGTGCGCCCTCTTTTTGTTCTTTCCCACACAGAATTGTTACTGAGGGCCACAGAACCGTTACTTAGGGCCACAGAATTGTTACTCAGGGACACAGAATTGTTACTGAGGGCCACAGAACTGTTACTTAGGGCCACAGAATTGTTACTCGGACAGACACAGAATTGTTACTCAGGGACACAGAATTGTTACTGAGGGCCACAGAACCGTTACTTAGGGCCACAGAAACGTTACTCAGGGACACAGAATTGTTACTGAGGGCCACAGAACCGTTACTTAGGGCCACAGAATTGTTACTCAGGGACACAGAATTGTTACTGATGGCCACAGAACTGTTACTTAGGGCCACAGAATTGTTAACAGACACGAATTTACTCAGGACACAGAATTGTTACTGAGGGCCACAGAACCGTTACTTAGGGCCACAAAAACGTTACTCAGGGACACAGAATTGTTACTGAGGGCCACAGAACCGTTACTTAGGGCCACAGAATTGTTACTCAGGGACAGACACAGAATTTTTACTGAGGGACACAGAATTGTTACTGAGGGCCACAGAACCGTTACTTAGGGCCACAGAATTGTTACTGAGGGACACAGAATTGTTACTGAGGGCCACAGAACCGTTACTTAGGGCCACAGAATTGTTACTCAGGGACACTGAATTGTTACTGAGGGCCACAGAACCGTTACTTAGGGCCACAGAATTGTTACTCAGGGACAGACACAGAATTGTTACTCAGGGACACAAAATTGTTACTGAGGGCCACAGAACCGTTACTTAGGGCCACAGAAACGTTACTCAGGGACACAGAATTGTTACTGAGGGCCACAGAACCGTTACTTAGGGCCACAGAATTGTTACTCAGGGACAGACACAGAATTGTTACTCAGGGACACAGAATTGTTACTCAGGGACACAGAATCGTTGAATTAAAGAGTATGTCAGACAACATGCAGAGGAGTGGCAGAGGAGGCAATGTTTTAGGAGCGAGCAGACGTGGCAGCAGAGGAAGGGGTCGAGGCAGCACTATTCGCAGCCAGAGGCCAGTGCTCCCGGTGTCATCCAGCGGTCGTGTCTCCACCGACAACCCTGCCATCATCGATTGGTTGGCTCGGTCGTCTTCCTCTTCCCAGGTCACCTCTGACACCTACAGCCAACGGTCGGTGGGTACGTCAGACACAACCGTTAGTTGGCATGGCCCGGGAGCAAGCCCACTGAAATCACGTGTCCTCTACCTGCCCCTGTCCTTTGCTGTTCCCTCACCAAGCGAAGTATCGCATGCTGTGGGCTCAGCCCCACTGTACAGTGAGGAAGAGCTAACAGAGGGCGGTCAGGAACGGGGGGAGACATCCGCCTTTTCAGCAGCCAGGCGAAGAAGTACTGGCGAGGAGAGTGGCTCGGTAGCCGGTCTAGAGACAGGTCTGTCTCCTGACCCAGACGCAGCCGAGGGGGCTAGTAGTGAGGCGGAGACCCTACTTGATGATGAGGAGGTTGATCGCACTTGGCAGCCTCGTCGTCATCAGGTAATTTCTTCCGCATCATCAGGAGAAGAGGGTGCCAGCTTGGCAGCGAGCGAAACAGTCGGTGGGGGTTGCCCAGGAGGCAGCAGGGTCGCAGCAGTGTCAGTGGAGCCAAACGGCCACGGAGTAGAGCACCAGCTCCACTGCAGCCTACCACCACGGCCAGTAGTGGTGCCGGTGCGCACGGAGGAAGTAGCAGTCAGCCAGTGAGGAGTAGCGGGGGCAAAGTTTCCTACTCGGTGGTGTGGCAATTTTTCGTCAAGCCGCCCGAGGAAGTAAACGTAGCCGTATGTCGACTATGTGGCCAGAAAGTCAAGCGTGGCCAGGGGGCCCATGTTGGGACTACAGCGTTGCGTCAGCATATGCAGCGTCGCCATTCGGTGGCCTGGGAAAACCGTGATAAAGATACGGCGGTTCTGCCTGCCCCAGCCCCCGCTCCATCACCCGCTCCGTTACTTGCTCCGTCACCCGACGTCAATCGCCCTCTATCAGCCAGTCAAGGCTCCAACACCTCTGCTGAGGGGAGTTGTCACTCGTTGGCATCTTCCGCTCGTTCAGATGCTCCTTCTCCTGCTACTCCTCTTCTCGGATTCCGTCAGCAGTCTTTCTTGGAATCCGTTTCCAAGAGACAACAGTTTGCGAGCACGCACCCGACGGTGCAAAAGCTGAACGTCCTCCTGTCCAAGTTGCTGGTGCTGCAGTCCCTCCCTTTCCAACTGGTGGACTCAGCACCTTTCCGAGAAATGATGGCTTGTGCCGCGCCGCGGTGGAGAGTGCCAAGCCGTCATTTCTTCGCCAAAAAGGCAGTGCCAGCCCTGCATTCACATGTAGAAGAGATGGTGGGCCAGTCTTTGAGCATGTCGGTCTCTGCCAAAGTGCACGGCAGCGCCGACGTGTGGAGCTGTAACTACGGTCAGGGACAGTACATGTCATTTACGGCCCACTGGGTGAACGTGGTGCCGGCACAGCCGCACCAGCAACTTGGACAGGTCACGACGCTTTTGCCTCCACGTTTGCACGTCCTTGGTCCAGCAAACATGTCCGCCTCTACCACCTCTTCTTCCGCCGTGTCCTCAGCCGCCACCCCCGTGCCAAGTCCCATTACCCGACCGGCATATCACATGTGCAGGGCGCAACGGTGTCACGCTGTGCTGCACCTGGTATGCCTTGGCGAACGTAGTCACACAGGGGAGGAACTTCTGAGTGTAATGAACAGAGAAATCGACAGATGGCTGTCTCCGCGCAAACTGAAAATCGGAACCATGTTGACCGACAACGGAAAGAACATGGTGTCTGCTCTGCGTCAAGGAAGGTTGTGCCATGCGCCATGCATGGCTCACGTGTTCAATCTGGTTGTCAAGCGGTTCCTAAAATCCACCATCCCACTGCAAGACATCCTTAAAATGTCACGTAAACTTTGCATGCATTTCAGCCATTCCTACACCGCAAAGCACACCCTCCTTGAGCTGCAGCGGCAGAACGGAATTCCACAGCATCGCCTGATCTGCGACGTTGCAACAAGGTGGAATTCAACCCTACACATGTTAGACCGCCTTTACGAGCAGCGAAAGGCCATCACCGATTTCCTGATGTTACAAGCGGATAAAGGTACTCCCTTGTGTAACTTCGATGTCAGCCATTGGCAGCTCATGCGTGACACCTGCCGCTTGCTCAGGCCCTTTGAGGAGGCCACGCTATTCGTGAGTCGGCAGGACTATGGGATGAACGACGTCATTCCTCTGTTGCACGTCTTGGAACAAATGCTGTTAACAATGGCTGGTCAGGGTGCGGTAGACGTGGCGCACAGATCTCAACGCCACATGACCCCTGTGGGGGCAGGACAGGAAGAAGAGGAGGAGGTAGAGGAGGACATTTGTGCTCAGGAATTATTGAGTGAAATGGGTGGTTTTTCCACTCAGCGGACAGGAGTGGAGGAGCAGGAGCATCTGGTAGAGGAGGAGGAGGAGGAGACAGAGGACCCAGACGCACCGTGGCAGTATGCTGTGGAGATGGAGGCAGGGAGTCCCTCGCATTCCTTGGCGCAAATGGCCCATAGCATGCTCGGTTGCTTGCGTAGCGACAGCCGAAAATAACCATCAGACAGAGGGATGACTTTTGGCTGTCCACCTTGTTGGACCCTCGCTACCGTTCCAAAATGGTGGCCTTTTTCACACCTGCTGAGAGGGAGGCCAAAATTACGTACTATAAAAACCACCTATGTAGTCAGTTGGTCTCTGCCTTTCTGCGCCAACGTCCATCCTCAGACACTGTGGGCCCTGTGCGCTCGCGTTCCGCTGCCATGGCAGCAGGGGAGGGGTGGGGTGGTAGGAGCAGTGGCAGCTCCACCAGCAGCGGCTGCCTCAGTCTGCAGTCGATGATGAGTAGCTTTCTTCACCAGCGCAGTGAGGAAACTACTAACCAGCCGCAGCAGCAGCAGCAGCAGCATCAGGTGGACCTGGAGCAGGAGCTCAAACAACAGGCTTGGGCCTACTTGGACAGCACCCTGCCAACCGAGGTAGACAATCCCCTTGACTACTGGGCAACGAAACTTGACCTTTGGCCCCAACTAGCTGAATTTGCCCTTGAAAGGCTGTCATGCCCGGCCAGTAGCGTGGCATCGGAGCACGTGTTTAGTGCGGCAGGAGGTATTGTAACTCCGCGGAGGACACGACTGTCCACCCAAAGTGTGGAGAGACTCACGTTTGTGAAAATGAATCAGGCGTGGATTAGTCTGGATTTCAAACCACCAGTTCCTGACACAACTGACTAAATCCGCCATGAATCATGCCCCAAACATGTGCCACTTTCAGGTCTCCTCACACACTGCTGGTGTGTTCCATTTTTTGTCATAGGGTGCTGGCAGATTACGGGCCTCCCATAGCTGCTGCCAGGCCCCTAATCTGCCATGGGCCCCTGTACCGCCTCCTCATGCTGCTGCCAGGTCCAGAGTCTCTCATGGGTCCCTGTACGGCCTCCCATTGCTGCTGTCTCCATCGCCACACTCTGCCATGTGCCACTTTCAGGTCTCCTCACACACTGCTGGTGTGTTCAATTTTTTGACATAGGGTGCTGGCAGATTACGGGCCTCCCATAGCTGCTGCCAGGCCCCTAATCTGCCATGGCCCCTGTACCGCCTCCTCATGCTGCTGCCAGGTCCAGAGTCTCTCATGGGTCCCTGTACGCCTCCCATTGCTGCTGTCTCCCATCGCCACACTCTGCCATGTGCCACTTTCAGGTCTCCTCACACTGCTGGTGTGTTCAATTTTTTGACATAGGGTGCTGGCAGATTACGGGCCTCCCATTGCTGCTGCCAGGCACCTAATCTGCCATGGGCCCCGTACCGACTCCTCATGCTGACGTTGCAAAAAGGTGGAATTCAACCTCATACATATGTTAGACCGCCTTTACGAACAGCGAAAGGGCCATCACAGATTTCCTGATGTTAAAAGCGGATAAAGGTACTCCCTGTGTAACTTCGATGTCAGCCATTGGCAGATTCATGCGTGACACCTGCGCTTGCTCAGGCCCTTTGAGGAGGCCACGCTATTCGTGAGTCGGCAGGACTATGGGATGAACGAGGTCATTCCTCTGTTGCACGTCCTGGAACAAATGCTGTTAACAATGGCTGGTCAGAGTGCGGTAGACGTGGCGCACAGATCTCAACGCCACATGACCCCTGTGGGGGCAGGACAGGAAGAAGAGGAGGAGGTAGAGGAGGACATTGGTGCTCAGGAATTATTGAGTGAAATGGGTGGTTTTTCCACTCAGCGGACAGGAGTGGAGGAGCAGGAGCATCTGGTAGAGGAGGAGGAGGAGGAGACAGAGGACCCCAGACGCACCGTGGCAGTATGCTGTGGAGATGGAGGCAGGGAGTCCCTCGCATTCCTTGGCACAAATGGCCCATAGCATGCTCGCTTGCTTGCGTAGCGACAGCCGAATAATAACCATCAGACAGAGGGATGACTTTTGGCTGTCCACCTTGTTGGACCCTCGCTACCGTTCCAAAATGGTGGCCTTTTTCACACCTGCTGAGAGGGTGAGGCCAAAATAACGTACTATAAAAACCACCTATGTAGTCAGCTGGTCTCTGCCTTTCTGCGCCAACGTCCATCCTCAGACACTGTCAGCCCCAGCCCTGTGCGCTCGCGTTCCGCTGCCATGGCAGCAGGGGAGGGGTGGGGTGGTAGGAGCAGTGGCAGCTCCACCAGCAGCGGCTGCCTCAGTCTGCAGTCGATGATGAGTAGCTTTCTTCACCAGCGCAGTGAGGAAACTGGAAACTACTAACCAGCAGCCAGCAGCAGCAGCAGCAGCATCAGGTGGACCTGGAGCAGGAGCTCAAACAACAGGCTTGGGCCTACTTGGACAGCACCCTGCCAACCGAGGTAGACAATCCCCTTGACTACTGGGCAACGAAACTTGACCTTTGGCCCCAACTAGCTGAATTTGCCCTTGAAAGGCTGTCATGCCCGGCCAGTAGCGTGGCATCGGAGCGCGTGTTTAGTGCGGCAGGAGGTATTGTAACTCCGCGGAGGACACGACTGTCCACCCCAAGTGTGTGGAGAGACTCACGTTTGTGAAAATGAATCAGGCGTGGATTAGTCTGGATTTCAAACCACCAGTTCCTGACACAACTGACTAAATCCGCCATGAATCATGCCCCAAACATGTGCCACTTTCAGGTCTCCTCACACTGCTGCTGGTGTGTTTCATTTTTTGTCATAGGGTGCTGGCAGATTACGGGCCTCCCATAGCTGCTGCCAGGCCCCTAATCTGCCATGGGCCCCTGTACCGCCTCCTCCTCACGCTGCTGCAAGGTCCACAGTGTGTCATGCCATGTGCCACTTTCAGGTCTCCTCACACTGCTGGTGTGTTTCATTTTGTCATAGGGTGCTGGCAGATTACGGGCCTCACATTGCTGCGGCCAGGCCCCTAAATCTGCCATGGGCCCCTGTACCGCCTCCTCACGCTGCTGCTGCAAGGTCCACAGTGTGTCATGCCATGTGCCACTTTCAGGTCTCCTCACACTGCTGGTGTGTTCAATTTTTTGTCATAGGGTGCTGGCAGATTACGGGCCTCACATTGCTGCGGCCAGGCCCCTAATCTGCCATGGGCCCCTGTACCGCCTCCTCACGCTGCTGCCAGGTCCACAGTGTGTCATGGGTCCCTGTACGGCCTCCCATTGCTGCTGTCTCCAACGCCACACTCTGCCATGTGCCACTTTCAGGTCTCCTCACACTGCTGGTGGGTTCCAATTTTTTGTCATAGGATGCTGGCAGATTACGGGCCTCACATTGCTGCTGCCAGGCCCCAAATCTGCCATGGGCCCCCGTACCGCCTGGTCACGCTGCTGCTGGTCCCACAGTGTGACCTGGGTCCCTGTACAACTCCCTCCCATTGCTCCCACTCTGCCATGTGCCACTTTGAGGTCTCCTCACACTCCTGCGGTTTTCCATTTTGTCATAGGTTGCTGGCAGATTACAGGCCTCCCATAGGTGCCGCCAGGCCCCAAATCGGCCATGGGCCCCCGTACCGCCTGGTCACGCTGCTGCTGGGCCCACAGTGTGACCTGGGTCCCTGTACCGCCTCCCATTGCTCCCACTCTGCCATGTGCCACTTTGAGGTCTCCTCACACTCCTGCGGTTTTCCATTTTGTCATAGGTTGCTGGCAGATTACAGGCCTCCCATAGGTGCCGCCAGGCCCCAAATCGGCCATGGGCCCCCGTACCGCCTGGTCACGCTGCTGCTGGTCCCACAGTGTGACCTGGGTCCCTGTACCGCCCCCATTGCTCCCACTCTGCCATGTGCCACTTTGAGGTCTCCTCACACTCCTGCGGTTTTCCATTTTGTCATAGGTTGCTGGCAGATTACAGGCCTCCCATAGGTGCCGCCAGGCCCCAAATCGGCCATGGGCCCCCGTACCGCCTGGTCACGCTGCTGCTGGTCCCACAGTGTGACCTGGGTCCCTGTACCGCCTCCCATTGCTCCCACTCTGCCATGTGCCACTTTGAGGTCTCCTCACACTCCTGCGGTTTTCCATTTTGTCATAGGTTGCTGGCAGATTACAGGCCTCCCATAGGTGCCGCCAGGCCCCAAATCTGCCATGGGCCCCCGTACCGCCTGGTCACGCTGCTGCTGGGTGAGCCACAGTGTGACCTGGGTCCCTGTACCGCCTCCCATTGCTCCCACTCTGCCATGTGCCACTTTGAGGTCTCCTCACACTCCTGCGGTTTTCCATTTTGTCATAGGTTGCTGGCAGATTACAGGCCTCCCATAGGTGCCGCCAGGCCCCAAATCGGCCATGGGCCCCCGTACCGCCTGGTCACGCTGCTGCTGGTCCCACAGTGTGACCTGGGTCCCTGTACCGCCTCCCATTGCTCCCACTCTGCCATGTGCCACTTTGAGGTCTCCTCACACTCCTGCGGTTTTCCATTTTGTCATAGGTTGCTGGCAGATTACAGGCCTCCCATAGGTGCCGCCAGGCCCCAAATCGGCCATGGGCCCCCGTACCGCCTGGTCACGCTGCTGCTGGTCCCACAGTGTGACCTGGGTCCCTGTACCGCCTCCCATTGCTCCCACTCTGCCATGTGCCACTTTGAGGTCTCCTCACACTCCTGCGGTTTTCCATTTTGTCATAGGTTGCTGGCAGATTACAGGCCTCCCATAGGTGCCGCCAGGCCCCAAATCGGCCATGGGCCCCCGTACCGCCTGGTCACGCTGCTGCTGGTCCCACAGTGTGACCTGGGTCCCTGTACCGCCTCCCATTGCTCCCACTCTGCCATGTGCCACTTTGAGGTCTCCTCACACTCCTGCGGTTTTCCATTTTGTCATAGGTTGCTGGCAGATTACAGGCCTCCCATAGGTGCCGCCAGGCCCCAAATCGGCCCATGGGCCCCCGTACCGCCTGGTCACGCTGCTGCTGGCCCACAGTGTGACCTGGGTCCCTGTACCGCCTCCCATTGCTCCCACTCTGCTGCCATGTGCCACTTTGAGGTCTCCTCACACTCCTGCGGTTTTCCATTTTGTCATAGGTTGCTGGCAGATTACAGGCCTCCCATAGGTGCCGCCAGGCCCCAAATCGGCCATGGGCCCCCGTACCGCCTGGTCACGCTGCTGCTGAGCCCACAGTGTGACCTGGGTCCCTGTACCGCCTCCCATTGCTCCCACTCTGCCATGTGTGCCACTTTGAGGTCTCCTCACACACTCCTGCGGTTTTCCATTTTGTCATAGGTTGCTGGCAGATTACAGGCCTCCCATAGGTGCCGCCAGGCCCCAAAATCGGCCATGGGCCCCCGTACCGCCTGGTCACGCTGCTGCTGGTCCCACAGTGTGACCTGGTCCCTGTACCGCCTCCCATTGCTCCCACTCTGCCATGTGCCACTTTGAGGTCTCCTCACACTCCTGCGGTTTTCCATTTTGTCATAGGTTGCTGGCAGATTACAGGCCTCCCATAGGTGCCGCCAGGCCCCAAATCGGCCATGGGCCCCCGTACCGTACCGCCTGGTCACGCTGCTGCTGGTCCCACAGTGTGACCTGGGTCCCTGTACCGCCTCCCATTGCTCCCACTCTGCCATGTGCCACTTTGAGGTCCTCCTCACACTCCTGCGGTTTTCCATTTTGTCATAGGTTGCTGGCAGATTACAGGCCTCCATATAGGTGCCGCCAGGCCCCAAATCGGCCATGGGCCCCCGTACCGCCTGGTCACGCTGCTGCTGAGCCCACAGTGTGACCTGGGTCCCTGTACCGCCTCCCATTGCTCCCACTCTGCCATGTGCCACTTTGAGGTCTCCTCACACTCCTGCGGTTTTCCATTTTGTCATAGGTTGCTGGGATTACAGGCCTCCCATAGGTGCCGCCAGGCCCCAAATCGGCCATGGGCCCCCGTACCGCCTGGTCACGCTGCTGCTGGCCCGACAGTGTGACCTGGGTCCCTGTACCGCCTCCCATTGCTCCCACTCTGCCATGTGCCACTTTGAGGTCTCCTCACACTCCTGCGGTTTTCCATTTTGTCATAGGTTGCTGGCAGATTACAGGCCTCCCATAGGTGCCCCGCCAGGCCCCAAATCGGCCATGGGCCCCCGTACCGCCTGGTCACGCTGCTGCTGGGCCCACAGTGTGACCTGGGTCCCTGTACCGCCTCCCATTGCTCCCACTCTGCCATGTGCCACTTTGAGGTCTCCTCACACTCCTGCGGTTTTTCCATTTTGTCATAGGTTGCTGGCAGATTACAGGCCTCCCATAGGTGCCGCCAGGCCCCAAATCGGCCATGGGCCCCCGTACCGCCTGGTCACGCTGCTGCCTGAGCCCACAGTGTGACCTGGGTCCCTGTACCGCCTCCCATTGCTCCCACTCTGCCATGTGCCACTTTGAGGTCTCCTCACACTCCTGCGGTTTTCCATTTTTGTCATAGGTTGCTGGCAGATTACAGGCCTCCCATAGGTGCCGCCAGGCCCCAAATCGGCCATGGGCCCCCGTACCGCCTGGTCACACGCTGCTGCTGAGTCCCACAGTGTGACCTGGGGTCCCTGTATGAAACGCCCCATTGCTCCCACTCTGCCATGTGCCACTTTGAGGTCTCCTCACACTCCCTGCGGTTTTCCATTTTTGTCATAGGGTTGGCAGATTACAGGCCTCCCATAGGTGCCGCCAGGCCCCAAATCTGCCATGGGCCCCCGTACCGCTGGTCCTGGTCACGCTGCAGCTGCTGAGCCCACAGTGTGACCTGGGTCCCTGTACCGCCTCCCATTGCTCCACACTCTGCCATGTGCCACTTTGAGGTCTCCTCACACTCCTGCGGTTTTCCATTTTGTCATAGGTTGCTGGCAGATTACAGGCCTCCCATAGGTGCCGCCAGGCCCCAAATCGGCCATGGGCCCCCGTACCGCCTGGTCACGCGGCTGCTGCTGGTCCCACAGTGTGACCTGGGTCCCTGTACCGCCTCCCATTGCTGCTCCCACTCTGCCATGTGCCACTTTGAGGTCTCCTCACACTCCTGCGGTTTTCCATTTTGTCATAGGGTTGCTGGCAGATTACAGGCCCTCCCATAGGTGCCGCCAGGCCCCAAATCGGCCATGGGCCCCCGTACCGCCTGGTCACGCTGCTGCTGGCTGAGCCCACAGTGTGACCTGGGTCCCTGTACCGCCTCCCATTGCTCCCACTCTGCCATGTGCCACTTTTGAGGTCTCCTCACACTCCTGCGGTTTTCCATTTTTTCATAGGTTGCTGGCAGATTACAGGCCTCCCATAGGTGCCGCCCAGGCCCCAAATCGGCCATGGGCCCCCGTACCGCCTGGTCACGCTGCTGCTGCTGGTCCCACAGTGTGACCTGGGTCCCCTGTACCGCCTCCCATTGCTCCCACTCTGCCATGTGCCACTTTGAGGTCTCCTCACACTCCTGCGGTTTTCCATTTTGTCATAGGTTTGCTGGCAGATTTACAGGCCTCCCATAGGTGCCCGCCAGGCCCCAAATCGGCCATGGGCCCCCCGTACCGCCGCCTGGTCACGCTGCTGCTGGTCCCACAGTGTGACCTGGGTCCCTGTACCGCCTCCCATTGCTCCCACTCTGCCATGTGCCACTTTGAGGTCTCCTCACACTCCTGCGGTTTTCCATTTTGTCATAGGTTGCTGGCAGATTACAGGCCTCCCATAGGTGCCGCCAGGCCCCAAATCTGCCATGGGCCCCCGTACCGCCTGGTCACGCTGCTGCTGAGCCCACAGTGTGACCTGGGTCCCTGTGTACCGAGCCATTGCTCCCACTCTGCCATGTGCCACTTTGAGGTCTCCTCACACTCCTGCGGTTTTCCATTTTGTCATAGGTTGCTGGCAGATTACAGGCCTCCCCATAGGTGCCGCCAGGCCCCAAATCTGCCATGGGCCCCCCCGTACCGCCTGGTCACGCTGCTGCTGAGCCCACAGTGTGACCTGGGTCCCTGTGTACCGCCTCCCATTGCTCCCACTCTGCCATGTGCCACTTTGAGGTCTCCTCACACTCCTGCGGTTTTCCATTTTGTCATAGGTTGCTGGCAGATTACAGGCATCCCATAGGTGCCGCCAGGCCCCAAATCGGCCATGGGCCCCCGTACCGCCTGGTCACGCTGCTGCTGGTCCCACAGTGTGACCTGGGTCCCTGTACCGCCTCCCATTGCTCCCACTCTGCCATGTGCCACTTTGAGGTCTCCTCACACTCCTGCGGTTTTCCATTTTGTCATAGGTTGCTGGCAGATTACAGGCCTCCCATAGGTGCCGCCAGGCCCCAAATCTGCCATGGGCCCCCGTACCGCCTGGTCACGCTGCTGCTGAGCCCACAGTGTGACCTGGGTCCCTGTACCGCCTCCCATTGCTCCCACTCTGCCATGTGCCACTTTGAGGTCTCCTCACACTCCTGCGGTTTTCCATTTTGTCATAGGTTGCTGGCAGATTACAGGCCTCCCATAGGTGCCGCCAGGCCCCAAATCGGCCATGGGCCCCCGTACCGCCTGGTCACGCTGCTGCTGGTCCCACAGTGTGACCTGGGTCCCTGTACCGCCTCCCATTGCTCCCACTCTGCCATGTGCCACTTTGAGGTCTCCTTACACTCCTGCGGTTTTCCATTTTGTCATAGGTTGCTGGCAGATTACAGCCTCCTATAGGTGCCGCCAGGCCCCAAATCGGCCATGGTCCCCCGTACCCGCCTGGTCACGCTGCTGCTGGGCCCACAGTGTGACCTGGGTCCCTGTACCGCCTCCCATTGCTCCCACTCTACCATGTGCCACTTTGAGGTCTCCTCACACTCCTGCGGTTTTCCATTTTGTCATAGGTTGCTGGCAGATTACAGGCCTCCCATAGGTGCCGCCAGGCCCCAAATCGGCCATGGGCCCCCGTACCGCCTGGTCACGCTGCTGCTGGTCCCACAGTGTGACCTGGGTCCCTGTACCGCCTCCCATTGCTCCCACTCTGCCATGTGCCACTTTGAGGTCTCCTCACACTCCTGCATTTTTCCATTTTGTCATTGGTTGCTGGCAGATTACAGGCCTCCCATAGGTGCCGCCAGGCCCCAAATCGGCCATGGGCCCCCGTACCGCCTGGTCACGCTGCTGCTGGTCCACAGTGTTACCTGGGTCCCCTGTACCGCCTCCCATTGCTCCCACTCTGATGTGCCACTTTCAGGTCTCTCACACTCCTGCTGGTTTCCATTTTGTCATAGGTTGCTGTATGGCCTCCCATTGCTGCTGCCTCCACCGCCACACTGTGGCTCCAAACACTGGTTTTGGCCCCGTGACTGGCCAAATGAGTGAAGTGTGCGGTGATTCTAAGATCGACGGCACTCATCTGCATGTTCATACTGACTGACAGTAATATTTCTCTTCCCCAGCAGACTCCAAGGGCATTTAAATTAAAGGTACAGTGTTCTGCACTAATATCAAGTCTCTCTGAAGCCTAGAAACACCCTTTTTTAAGTTAAATTCACAGCGAATATATTCGACTCGAATCGAATATTTTCCACGAATTCGCCGAATCAGTCGAATCGAATTTTTGAATACTTCGCTCATCTCTAATCATAAGCTTTTGACGCGTTTCGACCAATAGGTTGTCCTCAGGAAGTGCCCTGAAGGTTTTTTTACACTATGGGATGTCTGGTTTTGTTTTATTTTATGCTGAGAATATGAATTACTGCCTGTGGAGGAGAGGAGCTTTCTATTATTGATGCAGCCCTAGTGGAGGGTTACCGGTTACCACCAGCAAGCACGGTTAAGAGTGTGAAGGAATACCTGCCAACAATGCCATATTGCATACTGAGATAGTCCCAAAAGCGCATTTGACTAACCTAGAGATAGGTGGTCATGGGATGACAGTGAGTTTACATCCATGTGGGGCACCAGTGTGAGTACAGTGAAGCACTTGTTACCTCAGTACGGAGGTTCACCATTAAGGATACAGCACCATTGCACTTAAATTCACACGTTGGGACTGAATACCAATATTTTATTTGTTTTTGTCCATGTGTATCACTTCAATTTGTACACTGTTACTTAGTTTATTGTATGACCTAAGCGTGTCTATATGAAATATTAACAAATTTTGTGTATAAGAGTTCACAATTAGGAGTGCTGCTACTGTATATAGGTATTATATATTTTTTATATGTTTTTATATTTTTTTCCTAAGCGCAACAGCACCCCCTTTTCTTTACATATTTACTCTCAGCCTACAATCTGGTGTCAAGCAGGTCCTGGCTGCGGTGGGACGCTTGACAGTGTACCATTGACCTGCTTGTGGCAGTTTTGACCTTGCCAGCAATTGATGTTGCTTTATGGACTATGCCCTCAAGTTGAATTGTGGGGTTAGTTTAATGCCTGTCTGGCACTGATTGTAAAGACAGGGCTCTAAGACTATGTGAATTTATGTTTTATGGATGCTCACAGTATAACTGTGACTGTCATTGTTATTTGGTAAATTTGGAAAGCTGTTACATTTGGAAAGTTCAATAAAGCCGTGGCCTTGCCCTATTTCCAACTTAGCTTCCGTGTCTTTTTGGGGAGCAAGGTATTTGTTTATTAGTTGGTCATAGATGAGCCTATACTTCTTAATAGCCATGTCTCATTGTCTCCCTGCTGTTTTCCCTCATAAACATCCACTATACCACATACACAATATCCTCAGAACCTCCCCAGCCTCCTCCATCTATTGTGTCTAATATATACAAGCACAATCTCTTTCTCTGCACATCCCTCCATCTAATTCTATTAACATTTTTTTACCACCTGGAGAGCAGTATGCCGGTAGTAAAACTCTAAATGGAACGCACACCAATGGCCTTGTAGATAGCACACACAAAGCCAACTGGCCCAGTACACCTCTGCCTACCGGATGGCACACA